TGTGTTGGAAGAAGTGCAGCCAGAGTGCTCCTTGGAGGCCAGGATGGCCAAACTTCGTCTCTCATATTTCGGACATATTGTCAGGAGGGACTAGTCTCTGGAGAAGGATATCATGTTGGGTAAGGTGGAGGGTCAGAGAAAAAGAGGAAGACCCCCAACATAATAGATGGACCAAGTGGCAGCATCAGTGGACTGAAACGTGACAACAGTAGTGAGTTGACCCAGGATTGGGCAGTGTTTCGTTCTGCTATGCATAAGGTCGCTGTTAGTTGGTACCGACTCGATGGCACCTAATAACAAGACCACCGTACGTGGACACCACACAGGTTACAATACAGGATCAGAAAATTCTCAGGGTGGTTGTTCGAGTTGACTGCTGATAAATGCCCATAAGACAACACCACATCACTGCAAGTCAGCTTATAGACACGCTTGGCCCTAGCTCCATGGATCAGCAAACCTAGCTCCCCCACTTAAGTGCCTGAAAGCACCCACGCTACAAGCAGGTTTCCTGGCCAAAGTCACTCAGCTTTACTTGCTCTGTGGGCTGGGAAACCCAGTGTTGTCTTGTGCTCTGGTTCTTGGTATTGCTGCTGCTGCTGGTCCTCTGGTATCATAGCTTTCCATCCCTGGGGTCGAGAAGGTTCTCAGGGTCTCTGATGGCAGTGAGATTCCCCACTTTCTGCTTCTGAGATGGCTCATTGTAAACTCATGTTAGAGTTCCAAGAATATCTTTCCTAGTTCTTAGGAGATACATGGTGGAGCATTACATGTGAGGAAGTCCCTGGTTTCTAGAACATATTTTCAAATTACCCTTCCCACCCAAAAATGTGTATTTATGTTTTTGTGTGTGTTTGCAAAGAAATAACATGTACCCAGATATGAACAGTTGGTAAATCTAGGTGAAGAGTATATGGGCATTCATTTCATTGAATTCTTCTTTTTAAAATTTAGTAGGTTTGAAAATTTTCAATGTAAAAAGTTCCAAAAGAGTCCAGAAGGGCATTATGTGACTGTGATTTGGAGCAAGTATCATTCTGCACATCAGCCTAAATACAGTCTGATTGTGTTCCTCCAGAAATTCTTTTGACTATCTGCCGTGGTGAGAAATCTTGACCAGCATTCCACTGCCCACAGAATAAATAATACAGGTCACTTCATTATGAATGTCCTGTTTCCTCTTCTGTGTTAGGTGTGAAGTCCATGCCCTGCCCTGTGAAGTTCACATTCTAGGGTCATGAATATGGATACAGATATGTGTACAGATATGCTTTCAACTGCCCCGATTTTTCCCTTTGCATTTTTCCAGCTATAAAAATTATACCCTTGTGACTGTCTTTGGAAATTTGCACCAGGCCCAGCTTGGTGGTGTGCCTGGGACGTACCAGTTGGTTAGAAGTTTCCTGAACCTTAAACTTCCAGCGCCGTTGCCTGGACTTCAGGTACTAACACTTTTTTCTGTGTGAGTTCTACCTGTTTCTCCGATAGGCATTTTCAATTCAAATGGGATTTTGCATGGAGACTGCTGGCTGGAGAAGGGATCAGAATGGGAGCCTCTTGGGAGGCTAGTACTGCAGGAACCCAGGCAGGCGAGTGTTGGTGTTGGCTCAGCCCCGGTTATGGGGCGTCAGGAAATATCATATTTGGGATGTGTTTTGAAAGGAGAGCCAGCACTTCGAGGTGGGACTGAGAGGCAGAGGCAGGATCAGTTCTGAGGTCATTGCCCCCCAAAATCTGGAAGAATGGAGTTGGAGATGGGTCTTAGGGAGTGGTCCCTCTTCTCAGTTCACAGTCACCTGGAGGCATTTCTGTGCAGTCCATTACCACAGTGTGAGCAGTGCTGGACTGGAGTGTTACACCAAGGGTGGTCGGTACAGACAGGGCTGGCTTCAGAAAGGAGGTGAGGCTCGTGCTTGCTATTGGAGCTTGTTAGTCCAAGGTCTTGGGAAAGGATATTCCAGGAGGAGTGCAGGGTGACAGGAAAGTATCTGGAGAATGTGAGTTTCAGGTGAGTGGTGGGGCTTGACAAGCTTGGGACCAGGTGGTAAAGGCCTTGAAATGGCTCAAAGGAGTTGAGGTAGATAACTTCAATGATCAGATCTGGGTTATAGAAAGAGTTCTTTATGGTGGAAGGGGCAAGAAAGGAGATCTGAGGGCCACTCCTCTGGAGGAGGTAGGGAAGAGCTCAGGGCTAACCCCAGGCCTCCTGCACAGACAGGTGACAGGCGAGGTTAGTATACGTTCAAGTGCTTGGAAAAGTGGATCCAGGGCCTATTACAGTGTCAGATACAAAGGTGCTCAGTACTTTGAAGTATGAACAAGTGAATAAAAATTCCAGTGCCCATTTAGCTAATCACTAGCAGTTAGCATTTCATCATTTCAGATAGGACAATGATAGTGTCTTTGGTCAGTGAGTGTCTTTAACTGTTACTTTGTGGGAGTTGCCGGAGGGCAGTGATCACAAAAGAATATGCCACCCCAGACTGCTGGGGTTTTCAAGGAGGAAGCACAGGGCAGGTTTTGAATCAGGTAGGGTAGCATAGTGCTTCAGAAGAAAAGCTCTAAAGCTACACCGACACTTGCCAGCCTATCGTGGGCAAATGACTGAGCCTCCTTGTGCCTCAGTTTGCTCATCTGTAAAATCGGGAGAAGCAGGCTATTAATGGTCCCTACCTCATGGTGTAGCCTTGTAGGTTAAGCACAGGACTGCTAACAGCAAGATTGGCTGTTCAAACCCACCAGCCACTCCTTGGAAATACCCTGAGTTGGAACCGACTCAATGGCACATAACTACAGCCACCTCAGTGATGGTGGTGGTGATGGTGATTGTGTGCCATTGAGCTGGTTCTGACTTGCAGTGACCCTGTATAGGTGTTCTGAGGTTGTAAATCTTTACAGGAGAAGAAAGCCTCATCTTTCTCCCCCCAAAGTGGTTAGTAGATTCAAACTACTGACCTTGAGGTTAGCAGCCCAACTTGTAACGTACTACTACTACGCAGAAGGGTTCCTTCCCTACCTCATATGAGCATTGTAAGAATGAGATATCTTAATACAAGAAGGAAGCCTAGCTGAGAGTCAGGCAGGTAAGAAAGCAATCAGTTAGCTTTTGATTATTTGACTGTTTACTGTGAGTGTCTTTCCTCTTAGGATGGAGAGGTGGAAGGCCATCCTGTGTGGGCACTGATTTATTACTGCATGCGCTGTGGAGACCTGCTTGCCGCTTCACAGGTGGTTAATCGAGCCCAGCACCAGCTGGGAGAGTTTAAAACCTGGTTCCAGGAGTATATGAACAGCAAGGACAGAAGGTACAGTATATGAGACGACACGCCCAGGGGCCTCAGGGACCCACTGATATTGTTTTATTTCCCCGTACATGGCTTCAAATGGGAAATCAGGTCTAGAACCTGAGTAAACTATTAAGAACAACAATTGAAAGCCTTCAGAAGAGAGCCCTGTTTTAACACTGACGTCTAGAATTGCATCTATCTGTAGTTCCAGATTTTCTTTTCCAGTGAGGTAGGGACTGTGTTTGGTAGCATGATGTGACTTATTTGACATCAGGGACACTTTGTTGTAGTATTACATTTTACTCATTTAAACTTAGTGCTTCTTAGGTTTGGGAAAATATGTTTCATGAATGTCAGGCTCAAAGGCTATTAGAAGTTAGTAATCTTGAAATATAGTTACATTAATTCACGGACTATTTATTTTGATGTGCTCACTTATATTTAAGGAACTAGCTTTACCTCTGGATTTTGCTAATGTAATTATACTTAAGTTCGTATTTTCATTGTGGGTGTAAAAGAAATGCTAGTGGTTTATCCCAGCTACAACTGTGACAAACTAGGGATGCTTTTCTTATGTGATACTATATAATAGTATCATGTCGAGAAATTGGCTCCTATCACAAGCCCCTATCTGGTTCTTATTAGAGAGTTTACATAGGGTTGATGCCTTATGGTTTCCCTGGAAAGAGACCTTGAGCAAAGATTTGAGGGCAAGTAGGAGTCCTGGTGTGGCACTGTGGGCTAATGTGTCAGATTGCAAAGTCGTTTGAACTGCAAGGTCGGTGGTTCAAGCTCACCCGCTGCTCCTTGGAAACCCTATACAGGGTCGCTATGGGTCGGAATCGACTCAGTGGCACTTAACAACAAGTTTACTTGGGAGACAGCCCCCTTGGATCAGGAATGTGGAGGCAGAGGGCCCGAGACAGTTGGTGGACAGACTCACTCCTGCAAGTCACTGGTGGAGGAGTAGTCCTTCCCATCTGTGAGCTGCCCTACACGGTGGAGCTGGCCTCAGTGACAAGAGAAAGCCCACAGCCAGGCCGAGTGATGGACCCACCATGAAGGGAGGCTTCATGACTGATTGGGACCTGGTGCTTGCTGATGAGTGTGACTGCAACTTCCTGTTCCCTTGTGTCTTTAGATTATCCCCAGCTACGGAAAACAAGCTCCGGCTGCATTACCGCCGGGCCCTCCGGAATAACACAGACCCCTACAAGCGAGCTGTGTACTGCATTATTGGCAGATGCGATGTTACCGACAACCAGAGTGAAGTGGCTGACAAAACTGAGGACTACCTGTGGCTGAAGGCAGGCACTGCTTCTCTTTGCCCGAGCAGGGCTTTAGGCCTCTGCTCACATTGTGCACTCACATTTACCTGCTTTATGGGTGATACCAAGGAGGAGATTAGGCCTAGCAGGTTTCCCGGGTCCTGGCCCCAGTTTTTATTGTGTGATCCCAGCCAGTAAGCACAGTGACTAGTGTCTCCAACTCGCAGCATTGAGCATGGCCTGCTAGGTAGCTACAGCTCTGCACACTCCAGCTCAGGAAGTAATTTATACCAATGCATGTGTTTCTCTTGGGGTTTAGCTCAACCAAGTGTGTTTTGATGATGATGGTACCAGCTCCCCACAAGACAGGCTCAGCCTTTCACAGTTCCAGAAACAATTATTAGAAGACTATGGTAAGAAATACTGAACATAATCACATTCCCTTTTCTTTCCCACCTAAGTTGACTACTTCCTTTTCTTCTGGGAAAATTCATTTCTGTACTCTGTCTCTCCTTCAGAACCTCTGTGACTCTTAAGAACAAAACAAAACTCCAAATTTGAGGCCCACATTAATTATATATATGTATATATATGTGTATATATATATGAGGCCCACATTAATTATATATATGTATATATATGTGTATATATATATGAGGCCCACATTAATTATATATGTGTATATATATGTGTATATATATATGAGGCCCACATTAATTATATATATGTATATATAT